TTACAAATTTTATAGATTTCATTTAATATTTTTCAAATACTTTTGATTAATTGTAATGTTAAAAAAAATTATTAAAAGAATAAAATTTAATACTGTAATGCAATAGTTTTATTTGTATGAACTAACATTTTCTCTTCATTATTAACTAATTTATTAATAATATTTAACACAGTGCATGCATGGACAGTGCAAGAGTGGGTTGGCATCCACCCTAAAATCTCCTTAACCACATTGAAATAATTTATTCAAGTTTTCCTATATTGACCATTATTAGGGGATTTCTTTAAATACAAATTTATTTTTTACCAAATAATTATACATTTTCACTGAATGTTTTTCTGCTTGTATATCTTACTGAAAATCAATTCTACATTTTAAAAATTAGTTTGTTTGATGGTAAAATGTGCATTTAACACTTTCCCATGTAAAACAATGTTTCATCCCACTTCCACCCAAGAATGAAAATCCTAGCACCATTTACTGAGGACAACATGTCATAAGAATATTACTATATCAAATGATTTAAATTGCTAATAATCAAACTAAATAATAGTACTGTAATAAACTATTGGCAGCTAATTCCTTCAAATCAGCTGAGAAATCTAAGGATAGTTCAGCTAACAAAAATCTCCATAGCATCTCCATACTCCATAGCATAATAAGTAAATAAATATATATATACATATATATACAGTGGAATCCCGGTTAACGAACTTAATCTGTTCCGCGACTCCGTTCGTTAACTGAATTGTTCATTAACCGAAGCAATTTTTCCCATAGAAATTAATGCAAATGCAATTAATCCGTTCTAGTCTCCGAAATTTTTGTGATTTAATTTGTAATATACAGTAATTTTCTTTGATGAAAATGTAGGAAAACGTAGTATCTATTATTACAGCAACAAACACGTAAACTTTGTTTAATAAAACAGCACTGTACATACCTTCGTTTGTTGTAGTTGGTGGCAGAAAAGTGGAGATATACGAACCTTAATGCTTAGAAGGGGAATCCCCTCCAAAAAAAATAACGGGTAGCACTTCATCGGAAGATTCTTCGAGTCGAAGTCTCTTTCGGTAAAAAAAAAACCACCAATGGCTAAGTGGTCTTCGTACCTTGAACACGGGGAGTTCGTTCATGGGTTCGCATCTTGCTCAGATGGGCTGACCACATGGAGTTTTCCGGGATTTCTCCACGTCTGTAACGCCTAAATAGGGGCCAGTTTTCCTTAAAACCACCTCCCAGAAGGCATTCCCCCTAGGAAAATCGCCCAAGTGTTGCGTTGCCATAACTTAACCAACTCTTTCCGTAAGGAACAAGAAATTGATCTAAAGTTGATTGTCTTATTCTTTTAATCAAAATTTTTCTCAAATGCGATAGCGCGTTGTCGTTTTCTATTGCTACTATGACTTTTTTCTTTTTTGGATGCCATATTGATTAAATATATAAATCACAAAACTGAAAAAAGAAGTATAGTACAAACACTCGGAAAAGCAATGCTTAACTCACACGTGCCTAACACAACTAAAATTTGACACAAAATACCGTTACGTTCGTTATCCGAATTTTGTTCGTTATCCGAGACAAAATTTTTGCAAAATAAAAGTTCGTTAACCGATTTGGTCGTTAACCAGGACGTTCGTTAATCGGGGTTCCACTGTATATGTGCTAGGATTTTCTTATGACATGTTGTCCTCAGTAAATGGTGCTGGCACCATATTGTCAGTTATTTATATATATAGTAGAGCGTCGATTTTCCGAATCAATTGGGGACTAGGGTTGTCCGGATAACTGATATTTTGGATAACTGATTTACGTACGAAAAAATTGTTTAATATATCCGATGTCAAAATTTTTCTCCGTTGCGTGTCGCTTCGCGTTGAATTTTCGTCGATGTTAAGCCTAACAAAGACTATTGGGTCGTTAAAAATTATTTTTTTCTTTTGTACAAACAAAATAAATATATTGAAAAATATAAAAACTATAAAAAATTATACTTCAGATGTTAATTTAGTATCAAAAACGTAAAATATTTGAGTAACCCAAGACATGCCAAAGATTGAAGCGCCACAGCATTGGCGAAAATTTAAATTTGCCGACTGGAATTCTTTCGGATGATTGACTTTCGGAAAATTGACGTTCTACTGTATATATAATTGATGCCAGGATTCATTGAATTTAAAGAGACTTAGTAGTAATTTAATTTGTATGTCAATGTTATTTAATTTAATATGAAATGGATTTCTATATTGCATGGTTTAAAAAATAAAACAAATAAATTAAAATACTAATGATGTTATCATTAGTTTCAATTTTGTTAGAAAAACAATTTTTTGCAATTTTTAAAAATGTGCTTAGTAAATTTAGACGAATAAAAAGCTGTTAGATGAGATCATAATTACAGTTTAAAACCAACAAATGATCCATAGCAATGCATAGCATTACCTTCTTTCAAATCAACTTTAAAACACAGATAGCCCATAGTTATTTGCAGGAAATTATAGCAATTATAATCATGCATTTTTATTATTTATAATAAAATAAGGAATCTTAACATACTGTACAGTATTAAGAAACTATCATCATATCATTAGCTTGATTTCATCATACACATTTTGTAGGATGTATTTACTTAACAAAATAGGCTTTATCTGTACGACTAGAAAGTGATATATAACATATCTTTGAACCAGATGTTTATTAAACTCTCCTCATTATCATATTGCATGACTAGAACATAAACATTTATTCTGCATTATTATCTTTTACCAACTGGTTTATGATTTGATTTATATTTATATTAAACATGTGTCAAAAACTACCATATGGAAAAACTATTCTATATGATTAATTATCAAATAATTAAATTCAAATTTATAAGTTTAATAAATGTCCTATAAGTTTTGGTGGTTATAATTCTTGTTGTAGTTCACATCATTATGAAATATTATAAGCTAATTGAATTTTAACATCCACAACCCCAGAGACAATTAGAAAGAGATAAGTTGAATTCAAAAGCACAAAAATAAAATATATTTATTGATGTAATTAATATTGATGAGCAATAGTTTGTAACTATAAGATGACTAACAAAAATTAATAGGATTGAATAATTTAAAAATTGTATAACAATGAAGGCATAACATAACATTAAGAAAGTACAGTACAGTACATGCATGAAATTAAACAACAAACTGCTAGAAAATGAAGCTAACTTGAATATTTATGCAAATTATCTATTACAGTAAAGAAAAAATTCTCATTGCTAGATGTTGCAAGTCTTCACAGACAAGTGATGCTATTAGGAGAATTAACATTCTTTACAACTATGTCATAATTTTAAGTCATTCTCATTATTTTGATTTAACTGTAAGCAGATATTGCATAAAGTTAAATCATGTAGGTTATACAATTTAATATAATAAAGTATATAGGATATATAATTTGAAATTTTCAGACAGCAACACAGTGGTAAAGATATAATTTTTAATCTTTAATTGTGTATTTGTTCCATTTTCACACTAGATTTGTTAATATATCAATATTCATACAATATGTAAATTTTGTGATAACTTTTTATTTATTATTAGCATCATTTTAATACAAATTAAAATGATAAGTGTAAAACCAAACTAATTTTTGGAGATTTCAGATTATCAGTTTTATTTTCAAAGCAAGTGTTAATTGAATAATGAAGAAAATATAATATTTTGAAAATAAAATTGTTAATTTTCAGATAAAATTATGGTAACATTTTATCTGATGATATGCAGTTTGATTTGGCATTATAATAAGTTATTTGATTTTGTATTACAAAATAAATTATATATTTTTTATTATTATTTATTTGTTGGTATATTGTACTTATTACAATTTTTACAAAATAATATGGTATATGATTATAATTTATTCCAATATTCTTAGTTTATAAATTTTATTTTATACCAATTTCAGTTTTGAAAAATCAATTTAAATACAGTGGAACTTCGGTTAATGAATTTAATCTGTTCCGCGACTCCGTTCGTTAACCGAAGCAATTTTTCCCGTAGAAATTAATGCAAATTCAATTAATCCGTTCTAGTCTCCGAAATTTTTGTCATTTTATTTTTAATATACAGTAATTTTCTTTGATGAAAATGTAGGAAAATGTAGTATCTATCATTACAGCAACAAACATGTAAACTTTGTTTAATAAAACAGCACTGTACTGTACATACCTTCGTTTGTTGTAGTTGGTGGCAGAAAAGTGGAGATATACGAACCTTAATGCTTAGAAGGGAAATCCCTCCAAAAAAATAACGGGTAGCACTTCATGGAAGATTCTTCGAGTCGAAGTCTCTTTCAGTAAAAAAAAAAAACCATCAGTGGCTAAGTGGTCTTCATACCTTGAACATGGAGAGTTCATTTGTGGGTTTGCACCTTGCTCAGACGGGTTGGCCACGTGGAGTTTTCCGGGATTTCTCTACGTCTGTAACGCCTAAATAGGGGCCAGTTTCCCTTCAAAACACCTCCCAGAAGGCATTCCCTCTAGTCAGATCGCCCAAGTGTTGTGTTGCCATAACTTAATAAAGAAACAAACTCTTTCTGTAAGGAACAAGAAATTGATCTAAAGTTGATTGTCTTACTCTTTTAAGCAAAATCTTTCTGAAATGCGATAGCGCGTTGTCGTTTTCTATTGCCACTATGACTTTTTTTCTTTCTCTGATGCCATATTGATTAAATATATAAATCACGAAACTGAAAAAAGAAGTATAGCACAAACACTCGGAAAAGCAATGCTTAACTCGTGCATGCCTAACACCAGCTAAAATTTGACACAAAATACCGTTATGTTCGTTATCCGAATTTTTCGTTATCCGAGACAAAATTTTTGCAAAATAAAAGTTCATTAACCGATTTGGTCGTTAACCAGGATGTTCGTTAACTGGGGTTCCACTGTATTTCCTTAATCCCTGTTTTCTAATTTGTAAAAATTAAAACATAGTTTTATTTTTTTTAAACAGAAACAAGGTGGAAAAGATTTCATCCATTTAAGGTAGTTCGAAAAATTTTCTGTCGTCGAATAAAACGACAAGGAACTGAAGAAGTACAAGAAAGCTCAAAAAAATCTTGGTCAACTAGTGAATTACAATATATACCAAATGATGAAAATAGGTAATTATTGAAATTTAAATAACATTATAATATCAATACAATTACAAATTTCTTATTATTGTAATTATTATGTATCATTTTTTAATGAATTTTATATCTAAATTAGAAAAATGCTTTGAAAATGCATTAAGTTAAAAAAATTCTTTAAATTGTTTTTTGAAATCAGATTATTTTTGTAACATTATTAGAAAAAGCAATGTTTTGAGTGAGGAGTATGTTTTTAAAAAAACATTAACTATTTCTAAGACTTCAATATTTACACAAATAAATAATTTGCTTATATATTGTTTTCAAATTTCATAAATTTTTACTGTAATAGTAATTATATTTAAATTTATTTTTTCAGATAAGCCAAATTATGTTGAATTTTATGTTTCTTTTTATTATTAAAGTGCTTTCATTAACTGTAATCAAAATTCTAATGAGGATTTTTAATTTAATGTTAATTGATTTATCTTTATATTTCAAAATANAACACTCGGAAAAGCAATGCTTAACTCGTGCATGCCTAACACCAGCTAAAATTTGACACAAAATACCGTTATGTTCGTTATCCGAATTTTTCGTTATCCGAGACAAAATTTTTGCAAAATAAAAGTTCATTAACCGATTTGGTCGTTAACCAGGATGTTCGTTAACTGGGGTTCCACTGTATTTCCTTAATCCCTGTTTTCTAATTTGTAAAAATTAAAACATAGTTTTATTTTTTTTAAACAGAAACAAGGTGGAAAAGATTTCATCCATTTAAGGTAGTTCGAAAAATTTTCTGTCGTCGAATAAAACGACAAGGAACTGAAGAAGTACAAGAAAGCTCAAAAAAATCTTGGTCAACTAGTGAATTACAATATATACCAAATGATGAAAATAGGTAATTATTGAAATTTAAATAACATTATAATATCAATACAATTACAAATTTCTTATTATTGTAATTATTATGTATCATTTTTTAATGAATTTTATATCTAAATTAGAAAAATGCTTTGAAAATGCATTAAGTTAAAAAAATTCTTTAAATTGTTTTTTGAAATCAGATTATTTTTGTAACATTATTAGAAAAAGCAATGTTTTGAGTGAGGAGTATGTTTTTAAAAAAACATTAACTATTTCTAAGACTTCAATATTTACACAAATAAATAATTTGCTTATATATTGTTTTCAAATTTCATAAATTTTTACTGTAATAGTAATTATATTTAAATTTATTTTTTCAGATAAGCCAAATTATGTTGAATTTTATGTTTCTTTTTATTATTAAAGTGCTTTCATTAACTGTAATCAAAATTCTAATGAGGATTTTTAATTTAATGTTAATTGATTTATCTTTATATTTCAAAATACATGTCTTTACTATTTCTATTAGCAATACATATTTTTTCTTCATTCAAAGTATTAATTTAATCCTATTTAATTCTCTATATTACTATTCAATTCTATCTATATCTGCATAAAATTCTTATATTCTTTCTTTTAATGTTTTTCAAGTACCAAAGAAAACATGTAAATTTTTGATTTTTAAAACATTTTTCTTTTCTTTTTCATTATAAATGCAATATCTTATAGACAATCTTTGTTCTATAATTTTTTTCATTATTTACACAGTTTTTTTTTCTATTTTTGCACTTGTTACTTTAACTTCTTTCATACATTACTACTATATAGTTATTCACTCTTATTTTTCTTTGTAAATTTTTGATGAATTGAATCATATAATTTTATAGTAATTTCTATTCAGAAATCTTGTTTTATAACTAAATCTACTATAAAATTTAGGGCTTTCAAATCTTTTTCCATAGAATAAAATATAGGTTTGTCCNAATGTCAATAGCAGAAGATTGCATCCAAAATGCATCATTTTGCTTTTGCACTCCTTTCAAAATCTGGATCATTTGCTACAATTTCATCAATGATTTTGGTTATTGTTACCAAACTTTTACTAGGAAATCTGTAGAGAAATTCTTTGGGTTCTTTGTTTTCAGAATCTCTATTTTCCAGTTCTACACAAATTCCTTATTCTGTCAGTTCTTGAAGGTTGTCGTTGGTAAGACTCACCAGAAACCTGCAGTAATTCCTCAATATCCTGCTCATCTACATCTCCTAGTCCTTCTGTATCGATTAGTTTGACAATTTGGTCAATCTAACAATATAGCAATAGGCTCTTTTCGTTGAGAATTCTTGGATATCTTCAGCCATAACTTCTTCCATACTCCATTCATGCATTTACCAGTTAATTCTTGTCAAGCGAAGTCAATATTCCCTATGGCATCCATGATGATATATTTTTTCCAAAAGTGCACATAACAAACATATATTTAAGGGAAGTACAGCGCTACGACAAATTGCCACCTTTTGCTGATTGGCTCATGTTTGGGAATAATAGTATTATATATGAATCAATGAGATGCCGCATTAATTTGAATTGGCATAAATTTTGAGCCTTTTTTTAGGCTACAAGCAGACTGCATTATATTGAATCAGCGTTAAGTGGGGTCTTACTATATTTACTTACTTTTCTAGAAAATTAAAATAAGAATTTTTCTTTAAAAAAGGAAAGAGCAGAGTTTACATTTAAGGTTGCTACACACACTCAAGTAAATTTAAAGATTTGGCTAATTTTTTTTGTGACACTTAAATGCGTGCAGTGACACCCAGTCTTTCATTCCAGCTTTATCTTGCAATTAAATCAGTCAAAAATTGAATTTGAACTTGAATAGCATTTAATTGACAGTTTATTTGTATGATTGCATTTCTTCCAATTCCTTCAATACAGGACCCACTAGTGGCCAGATATATAGCATCTCTGAACACTGGTAGTTGGTTGTGGGTTCAGACTTCAGCAATGAGCCAACCATGTTGAATTTTCTGGGTTTCTTCACATGTATAACACTAGATAGGCACTAGTTTCCTGTAAAAAGTTCTCTCATGAGGCACCCCATGGTAAATTATCTGTTGGATTGATTATTCTAAAAGTCCAATCCAATTCAATTCTTTCAATATAAAATAGTTTTTGTATGCTATCTGGTGTTAAAAGCTTGAGGTATTTTGATGTATAATTGAAAAAAATTGAATAAAAAATAAAATCTATGCAAATAATATAAACTTATTAAATTTCACTAATAAGTAAGTTATAATTGTCCCACCTCCGATTTATTACTCACAACTGTACCTTTATAATTTACAACTTTTTGTTATGTTTATTCAATAGTTTATCATCAATAAGACAATAAATACTTTTATCAGTATTTCGGTATGAGTTGATACTATTTTTTTTTAAATAAAACATTAAATAACATTCTATACTATAATCATTTAAACTTGATATATTCAAGATTATGTTTCAGATAAAAACTGATTAATTTTATAGATTCAATGAAATAATATTATATCAATGAATGAACACATGAAGAAATTCACAATTAAATTGCAAATGAAACATCATAAAAACTGTTTTTCATACTGTTTTATTTGAATTGTTATTAAATTGTGAATTTCCTTATACTGTATACATATCAAACTGATAATCATGATAATCATTAAGAATGATTTTGAATTGCATTAATTTATTATTTCCTTTAAATTGGTATTTATTCATTTTTAAATCATCTTTTACTTTCCAAGATGATAATTTAAATTTAAGAAATCTAAAAATGTTTCATAACAAATAAAATTTTAAAGTGTAAATAAATTGTCTCTAAATATAAGTAATGCTATGAAGAACACTGTGAATTTGAGCAAACTAATTTTACTTTTTCATAACTATTAAAAATGAAGTTAAAACTTTTAAATTAAATATATTTGAACTTTACTGCATTTATGTTATTTTATGTTAATGTAAATACTCAGTTTGGTTCTTTTAGAGATTGTCCACAGGGACCAAGTACTGTACATACTTAAATCAGTAAATGAGAACCCATCAGACTTCATTTTAATACTCATCAAATACTTAGTTTAATTGTTAAAATATACTATAGAAATGTTTTGTTAAAATATTTTAGTTTGATTAATTTTTTCTTGAATTTTTGAATAGCATTTAATTCTAAAATTAAATTAATTTATAGTTATTATATTTAGCATTGGAAACATTGTCATTGATCATAATATTGTTTATCATTCAGATATTTCATTTAAAAAATGACTGTATAATTTATATATATATTTCTTTCAGATTTCAGGATCACTCACCTCCTTATAAAGTAGGTCTTAGTGTATCCCATGATAGTATCTTTTCTCATGATCATAGCCCTGTTAATATGGATCCTGATGAATTAGAAGAATTACAGACATCATCACTTTCAATTCCTAGAACTGAAATGAAAGGCTTTAGGGCAAGTTTATTTAAAAACATAAAAATTTGCTTAAATTCTGTCATGAAGTGATTATATTTTTAATTAATATTAACCTAATTTAGATCATTTGTTAAATTAAACAAATGAGAGTAACATATTCTTCTATTCTTCCTTACATAATTTTTTAAAGTAAAAAAGTGATGTAAATTTAATAAAATTGTATAAAATACAAATTTACCTAATTCTGTTTTTACACAGTTTTGATTTATCACAGTCTTTTCAATTCTCTTTTTACGAATTTGTTTTGGTCTAATTCATTTCAATAAATTTGCTTTTTTAAAAATCTCAATTTGATTTTAATTCTAATTAAAAAAAATACAGTAAGACCACCCTTAACATGGGGGATGCGTTCCTAGACGACAAAGCGCTAAGAGAAACAGTGTTAAACAAGGTCATTTTAATATAGAGTAAATAGGGAAAGAGAATGTGTGACCAAAAATAAACAAATTTTACTATAATTTTAAGTTATTTTTACATTAATTTGCATAATAATATATGGTAAATAACATACAAGCATATGCACACAGAAATGTAAAGTTCATTTTTTATGATTAAGGTCCTGACTTTTCTGAAATTCTTGTTCTTTTGCAATAAAGTCGTGAAGTTTCATTTGTCACTTTTTTCTTTCCTTAAGCAAATGTCAATAGCAGAAGATTGCATCCAAAATGCATCATTTTGCTTTTGCACTCCTTTCAAAATCTGGATCATTTGCTACAATTTCATCAATGATTTTGGTTATTGTTACCAAACTTTTACTAGGAAATCTGTAGAGAAATTCTTTGGGTTCTTTGTTTTCAGAATCTCTATTTTCCAGTTCTACACAAATTCCTTATTCTGTCAGTTCTTGAAGGTTGTCGTTGGTAAGACTCACCAGAAACCTGCAGTAATTCCTCAATATCCTGCTCATCTACATCTCCTAGTCCTTCTGTATCGATTAGTTTGACAATTTGGTCAATCTAACAATATAGCAATAGGCTCTTTTCGTTGAGAATTCTTGGATATCTTCAGCCATAACTTCTTCCATACTCCATTCATGCATTTACCAGTTAATTCTTGTCAAGCGAAGTCAATATTCCCTATGGCATCCATGATGATATATTTTTTCCAAAAGTGCACATAACAAACATATATTTAAGGGAAGTACAGCGCTACGACAAATTGCCACCTTTTGCTGATTGGCTCATGTTTGGGAATAATAGTATTATATATGAATCAATGAGATGCCGCATTAATTTGAATTGGCATAAATTTTGAGCCTTTTTTTAGGCTACAAGCAGACTGCATTATATTGAATCAGCGTTAAGTGGGGTCTTACTATATTTACTTACTTTTCTAGAAAATTAAAATAAGAATTTTTCTTTAAAAAAGGAAAGAGCAGAGTTTACATTTAAGGTTGCTACACACACTCAAGTAAATTTAAAGATTTGGCTAATTTTTTTTGTGACACTTAAATGCGTGCAGTGACACCCAGTCTTTCATTCCAGCTTTATCTTGCAATTAAATCAGTCAAAAATTGAATTTGAACTTGAATAGCATTTAATTGACAGTTTATTTGTATGATTGCATTTCTTCCAATTCCTTCAATACAGGACCCACTAGTGGCCAGATATATAGCATCTCTGAACACTGGTAGTTGGTTGTGGGTTCAGACTTCAGCAATGAGCCAACCATGTTGAATTTTCTGGGTTTCTTCACATGTATAACACTAGATAGGCACTAGTTTCCTGTAAAAAGTTCTCTCATGAGGCACCCCATGGTAAATTATCTGTTGGATTGATTATTCTAAAAGTCCAATCCAATTCAATTCTTTCAATATAAAATAGTTTTTGTATGCTATCTGGTGTTAAAAGCTTGAGGTATTTTGATGTATAATTGAAAAAAATTGAATAAAAAATAAAATCTATGCAAATAATATAAACTTATTAAATTTCACTAATAAGTAAGTTATAATTGTCCCACCTCCGATTTATTAACTAAAATTGAAATATTTTATTTATTTCAATATTTAAACACATCCTATTAAATTAATTGACTTATCATACTATTTTTACTGGTTTTTAAGGATTAGAAATAATCTTCCATTTTTCCATACAAACAACATCTTTTTTATATAGATTTTTTGGGGAAAACTTATGCCCAATTCTGCTTTTACAAGATAGATATTTTTAGATTGCATCATCACTTTGAGTTTTCATTAGATTTCCACATAAAAATGTCAATATATAATACTAAAGAAAAACAAACAAAACTTAAAATTTACATTTTTTAGTATTTTAAAAAAATATTTTTAGAAGATTGTTATTTGATTAATTTGTCTTGATATTAGGTGACATTTAAACAAGTATACAAATTTAAGTATACATTTTAAGTTACATAAAATAGATGTAAATAAATAATGTGCACATAATATTGAACAAAAAATATTAAAAAGCAGCATATGAATAATCTTTAATATCTAACATGAAAACAACATTAATAAATGTTTTCAACTGTTTTAAGCAGTCTTTAAGCTTGAACAGAATTCTAAATATGAATGTTAATGTTCTAGAATGAAAAACACATTTTGTAGTTCATATTTATTTCCAGTTTTTTTAAATTTATTATTACAGAATTTGATATTATAAAATAACAAACTTTTACAAATATTGTAGGATGAACTATTTACTAGAGTTAGAGCACGAAGAGATTCAGATGATGAAGATGTAGGGCTTCCGCATAGTCCTTGTACTAGCCCAACTACAGCAGATGTTCTTTCTCAAGGATTAAAGGTCTCTCTACATTATAGTTATTAAATAAAAATTACATAAATGCAATCAGAAATAACTTATATGAAAATATTGAATTATTTTGAATTAAATTTTCATCTGAAAATTTATTTAAAAAATAATTCACATTACAAATATTATTCATTTAATAAGAATATGTATGTAAAATAAACTATATAAAACATAAAAGTCAGAATTGAGAGTATATAATAATACAGTAATTATTACTATCAATTTATTTCTGTTCTTAAATTTAAATTTTTAATATTTAAAATTTTAAATAGAGATTTAAAATGATGCATTATATTATAAAAAAATAATAAAAATAATAATTAATTTCAGGAGAAATCTACAAAATCTTTAAATACTTGTAGTGCAGGAAGTCTTCTTAGTATGGAGAGCTTAGAAAATGAAGAGGCAAGTATTTTTATTCTAGAGCACTGATTTTTCAAACATTTTAAAAAGATTCCTCTTTTTTGTAAAAAAAATCATTGTGTCCTCAACACTTTTCATACATATATAGTTTTCTTAGGATGTATTTTGTTTTAATAAAACTAAGGTTTCCTTACAGTTTTTTGAAAGTACACAATTATATTTTGAACCAAACAAAAGTAAAATAGCATACAGAAATAAGTGAAGTGTGCAATGCTATAATGTTGTAAATGCCATTTGTTTCTAAATACATTTTATTGAAGAAATTAATTCTAAACACAATGTTTTCTGCTGCAAAAAATATTGTGGTGATAGTGGCACTGTAAGTGGCTGTATTTTGAAGTTGAATTTACATGCAAGCCATAACATTTTAAGTACCAGAGTGCAAGTCACATGACTTTTGATCCTTAAAACATTACGGCTTATGTTTACATTTTAAGTTTAATTTTATTATTGCAGAGAATTTGTAACCTAGTGAGTATTTTTACCATTTAATTGTAAAATTGAAATGAATTCCTTCACTAGAAAGTGTTTTTTTATCTCTCCTGAAAAGTTTGTTTTTTGCATTTATAATATTATGGCATTGCACACTTCAAGTATCACTACAAGAAATCAAAGTTTGATGAAATAATGACTACAATGTAGTCAAAATTTGATAACTCCATAACCACAATGATAACATTAATAAAATATAGAACTTGCTAGTTTGCCACCTTTTCAAAATTGCTAACCTGAACAATTTAAAATTAGAATGATAAATTATACTTAGAAATAAAAATTTCGGTTTTTTTATTGCGAGTAGGAAATAAATATTTTTTTTTATTAGAAGGTAAACATGTTCATGATATATTATTAAAGTAATATAATAATCACATGTGGCATATCCAAAAATAATTAATAACAGTCCAATGTCTATATTAATTGCAAAAATAATAAATAATAAGTAACAAAATATACATTGTATCTGATACAATATATAATATAAATATAGAAATTTGAAAACTAACATGAGTAATGGATACATATATTAATAAACTATCAATATATGAAAATAATTGAGAAAAATACATAAAAATAAATATTACATTATTTTCTATTTACCATTTTAAAAGCATATTTTTGGTTGCTCCTAGCTGCTTGTAAAAGTTTTTTATTTGTTATTATTTTTTCGTAAAAGTTTTTATAAATTTATTTTGTTTCATCATAATTTCACAATTTCTATGAAAACCTGGAAAAATTAATAATTAATCCAGACCATGAATTTAAAAACCGACTTGTCCAGGTGAAAACTGGCCTGGTGGCAACACTAGAACTCACAAATGTTTCTAATGTTATATTATATTATCAATACTAGAATATCAAGTACTGTACTGTACATGTAGGGTTGTCCTCAAAAGTAACTAATAATAATAATAATTTCTATGTGCTCTCTAGAAAGGCTCTTATATTGTAGTTTGAGAATCACTTTTTTACTAAAGTAATACTAGTTTTCAGTGAATTTTAATGATTAATGATATTTGAAATAGTGTCATAAAAGTAAATATAAATTAGAATATTATTAATATTATTAGTAATATCATAATTTTAAAAACTTTTTTAAATAAATAGAAATGAATCTGAACATTAATGGATAAGTACAGTGATGCCTTATACTTCAAATTTGATTTGTTCCAGGAGGCCATTTGAACTCTTAATTGTTTGAAGTCCAAATCAAATTTTCCCACTAGAAATAATGGAAAGTGGAATTAATCTGTTCCCAGACCCTAAGCAATACTTATTTTGATAAATAGCAAATACACATAACTTAAGGTAAAAAGAATACAGGTATACATCGCCTTACGTCGGTAATTGGTTCCAGAAGAGGCGACATAAGTCGAATTTACTTGTCACTGAATCTACTTGTCACTAAGCTAAACCATAAATTACCATTCCTGGTTCTGTATTTTATTTCTTAATGCATTTTTAATAATATATGGTTAATAAGGATCTATTTTAAGCTTACAAACAAATAAATTTTAGTTTTTAATATAGTACAGAAAAAAGTAATCTAAATTTACGAATGCATGTACTGTAAATACAGTACATACTTGTAAATGTATATATTTTAATGTGATTTTATGTGCTTTAAACGCTTTTCTAGTGATATTGCGACTTCAATATTTGTGGTGGACAGACGTAAAGTCGAATAAAATGACTTAAACTTGATTTTTATTTTTTCATATACTTTTTTGACAAACAACGTATAATTGGGAATGACGTAATTTGAAACGATGTAAGTCAAGGTATACCTGTACAATTAAATGTCCTGAATAATGAATTAAAACATGAAAACAATAAATGAAATATGTAAAAACTGTATAATAAAATGAAAAATGCATGTAACTTAGTGAGGAGTGACAATGTCCTATTTCTTAAGGTCACTATGCACCTTGCTTGACTCACAAATAATTCTCTCAGAGATGATATCATTAGCTAATTGCTTTTCATTTATCAACATTAGGAGTTTTTCATCTCCTTAATAACATGTGATCTCCTTGAGGTCAATGCATACTTTTAGCCACATTTGCTGCTTTTATTGCTTCCTTGTTCTTAAGAATAATGCACACTGTCCACTTTAGTATCTTAAATATGGCTATCAGATCTGCCACACATGTACCATTTTCATGCTTTGCAATAAGTTTTTTTACCTCAATCACTGATACTATAACCTTCCAGCTAGACTTTATTGCTTCCATACTTTTCTTGGATGCCGTGGTTAATAAGTAGAGGCTACATTATTTTTGGTGTATTTGATAATATAAGCAAAAAATATTGAAATACACAAGCATAATGCTAGAAATGCTTTCACAGCAAGAGCGAGAGATGACTTTGATGACAATAGATGACATTTACATAGTGAGTGCATTTTTTCACTGCACACACAAAGTTTGATCCCAGAAGCTTCATTCAAACTCCAACTTGAATTTCTCTTGAATACAGCATTTGATTTCTGGAACATTCAAAGTATAAGGTACCATTGTATTAAAATTTTTTAAAAAGCATATATTTTTATAATATAATTAATCAAGATCACATAATAATTTTCAATACACCACGGATAAATTTTTTAAAACAATAAAATTATAATAGACTAATTAATGTAGACTAAACTAAATGAATAAAAGTTTGATTTAATTAAACTGTGCATTTTATCATATTTTTCAGGATTCTCTTGGACAATTATCCTCCGGCCATTCATCGCGAGCATCACTATTAGATCGTTCAATAGGAAATGGTAAAAAAAAATCTTATAATTTTTGTTAAAATATATTATGTACTAGCTACTAGTAGAAAGTAAAGATTTGAATCACTTAGCTCTGAGAAATAATTATCTGATTAAAACTATTTTTTTTTTAATATTGAGTAGTATCTTGTTGTTTAATTTTAATATACTAAATAAATACATCTTTTAATATTTCGGTTATTTGTCATTTCTTTACATTCCAAAGAAAAGTTTTTGTTTTTGAAATTTTAGTGAATAAAATTTCCATCTATACATACATACAGTAGAACCCCTCTAATCCGTCACCTTTGGGACTGGGGGTATGGTCGGAACTCAAAAAAGGTCGGATTATCAGAAAAAAGTAAAATAAGCAATCTTCCCCTTTGTCCAGTCTTTGTAGCACTGCTAATTTTTCATTTAATGAAAGAGTAACGTGTTTACGTTTCACACCTGACATGTTGAAAACACACACAAAACTGTACATGTACACACAATGTAAAACATATACTGTAACGAACACAGAAAAACGCCAGGGACAGTGAGTCACTGACGAGTTGGGACAAGTTTCTCGACTCCGACCACGGTCGGATTAAGCGGAGTGACGGACTAGCCGAGGGCGGACTAGAGGGGTTCTACTGTATATCATTTGTACTGTACATACATCAAGTTTATCTAATGTAATTTTTTATTTATTTATTTGTCAAAACCATGTCTTCTTAAATTTACAGATTTTGTAGTGATTTAACTATAATATTGATTATTTTATTGTTTTGTTATTTTTTTAAAACTTTTCTGAGGATGCACACAATTACTTTTTATAAAAAAATATTTTATCAAAAAGAAGTTCTAAGATTTAAACTGGCTATATATTATTGATGGTATAAAGTTATTATTGCAGTAATGCTATTTGTAGTATTGGAATATTTTGTACCTTGTTAAATTCGCATTTATTTGATGAATAGAATTTCAAATTATGCTCTGTACAGAATGATACTTTGATTATTCTGTAATTGACATATTTTATATGTAAAATATTTTGTGTGTATTTCTTAAATCAAATTTTAATATCATATTATTAAATATTAATAAATTAGTCAATAATAATAGTGATATCTTTTTGTTTAAAAAAGAAAAAAGAATACAATATTATGAATACTAGAGATTTTATGAAATTGTTTTATAATTCTTTTATATATTGAATGCATGCATACATCTTTAATGATGAATGTATGGGCAGCAAGACAAATAGAAATTATCCAGATGATATATCATTGATACAAATTAGCCAAGTGATAAATCTGTTAGAACTAGGAAAAAACTTTTTTAACATATAAGCATTAAATTACAAATAAACGTCGCTAAATCGACAAGCGCTTTTGACGATAATTATTTTTGTCTTCATCAGGTTGTTAAAACATTTAAAATCCTTTCTTTTCGAATACAAATAACAAACCGTTCCAAGCGTATTAACGTTTTGGAATAAAGCAACGGTAGAACACAAGAAAATTTTTGAATGAAAACAACGTTAGAACATAAAATTTTTTGACAAAAACATGCGAAAACCCTTGAAAGATCGGGGGTTTACTCTGTCCCATTGGAAAATGTGTCAGGAGGTTGCACCCATTATATTGGCGCGACAACCAGAATGTTGTCATATCATATTTTAGAACATCAATATTCTATCAGGGAAGGCAAGAATGAAACCGAACTCGCTAGAATGGTGTTACAACACCAACATACCCCATTGTGGGGTGAAGTGGCCATATTAAGACAATGCAATAATAGAAATCTTGTGTATATTTGGGAAGCTCTCCTTACCAACATATTAAAGCCCTGCAATGCCCCCACACTTGATTTGCCCCCTTTGTGGATCAATTTGCATAACTATCTAAAACAACGTATCTAGCTCCACAATTTGGGGGCGTTTAACGCATGCGCATTATAAATATGCGTGTTTTTGTCAAAACATTTTATGTTCTAATGTTGTTTTCATTCAAAAATTTTTTTGTGTTCTATTGTTGCTTTATTCCAAAACGTTAATATGCTTGGAATGGTTTGTTATTTGTATTCGAAAAAAAGGATTTTAAATGTTTTAACGACCTGATGAAGACGAAAATAATTATAGTTGAAAGCGCTTGTCAATTTAGCAACGTTTATTTGTAATTTAACGCTTATATGTTAAAAAAGTTTTCTCCTATTAGACGATTGACGTGCTGTCCATCACAGTATTATAGATAACTGTTAGAACTAACTAATTAGAACTAATAAAACTTGTTAAGCATTTTTTTGTAATGCTCATTCAAATTTCAGTTCAGCTTCAAAATCTCTTTTCAGCATAAGTTAATTTTTAAATGAATGTATTCATTTATTATATTTTTTCAATTATCCTATTGTTGAAATATAACCCAAACTTTTAAATTGTATTGATAAAACAAATATTAAATATTGAATAAAAATATTTATTCTATACTTTTACTTTTCTGGCTGTTATATATATATATAACAAGTGGAAGTATTAGAATAGTGTCAAATTTGATCCTCCAAGTTTTTTTTTCAATTCTGCATGTTTTGAGACCTCCTAAATTCAAAAAATCAAAAAAAGTCCAAAACAAGTTTGTGTGTGTGTTTTGGCATCTATTTTGCTTAGTATCACAAGATAAGGTAAAGATTAAGTAATGAAATTTGGCATTGTATTACATTATATTAGCTTACACTATATATAAGGAGGGATTGATAGTATTAAATTTTGGTGGTTAAAGATTGAGAGGGTGGGGAGATAAGGGAGTGGTGTATATATCTCCAATAGGGTTGGACTTAATAACAATTTTACTCATTATTAACATTTATACCTTTTTATAAAACTCATCCCTACCCTCAAAATTAAGCATTTTGCCATTTTATATTAATTAAAAATATAAAAAGTTTTTAATAAAAAATCTCATAACAGGTGATGCCACACATAATTTCATTAAGTTATATTGTAATTAAAATTATAAAAGTTATTTTCTAAATAAGATCTCATGATAGCCAGGAAAGTTATGCAACTTGTTGCTGGATTTTTTATTAAAAGAAATCAGAGAATGTTAAGAATATTAAAAAATCCAAATTGCTAAATTTTCTATAGATGATGATAATACAAGTATTCATTGTAATTCATTAGATTAAAAAGTTTTTAATAAATTTGATGAAAATTAATCATTTTTTCACCTTGTTTCACTTATGTTAACTCATTTTTATATCTTGTTATTGTATGTTATCAACAAATTTTCATTAAGATAACTTAATTTGATATAAAAATATAATATATATTATTTTTATTAATGTTTCAGTGAATACAGTTGCAATATAATTTTACTTATTAATACTAAGTTAGTAATATAAAGTTCTTTAGTTATTCTCGTTGTGAAATTTGTTACAGTGGAAAATTTCATCATGTTTACAGTGACATACCATTATCTATTAAATAATAAAAAAAAGATTTCAAATTTTAAAAACATTTTAATAATTATACTTTTGGAAGAAGATATATTAAATGATTAACCTAAACTATTGTGATAAATATATAAGGTCCTACTTCTTTTAGAATTGAAAAATAAATTAAAAATCAGAGAACATTTCAATTTATTTGATATCTTCATTTTTTATATAATGAATATTACAAAAGTATTTCAATATTTTATAGCAATTGCATTTGAATTTGCAATGAATATATATATATATTCTATTAAAGCTAATTTTCAATTTTAAATATAGGGAGAATTTTTCAGATTTTTTCAAAAGAGAAATATATAAGTTTTATAGGAAATAATACTAATTGTCTTTATTTAACTTTTATAGATAGTGATATAGACACTAGTCAGTCTGTACCACTTAGTCATGAAGCAGCTCTTCATAAAATAGCTGTACGTCCTAAACGCACTCATAGATTGCCACGACAGAGAAGATTAAAACAGGTTAGAATAAAAATAAATATTATTTTATCTAAAATTCTTTAAATTCAAAATAATACAATAATAAATAATTAATTATTATTTTCAGTTAGCACCACAGAATACAAGTTTACCGATAACACCAGAATTAACTGAGGAAGGAAGAAAATCTCCACTCATTGGCATTAAGAAAGAATCTGAAAGTAAACATATATTTAATTATTTATTACTTATTAAAAAATTGATGAGAATAATCCTAGATTTAAATTTATTGTGAATAGATAAAACAATACTTATTTGAAGTAGAATATCATATTTACTAATAAAAGAAATTTTTGATACGAACAATTTTCATATAAGAATAATATTTTATATTTTCAGTATAATTTAGAATATGAAGTAAAATTTTATATTATTTGAAATTATTTTTTTAAAATTATATTTTGATAGGCTTGAAAATAAATAAAATGCCTGAAAATGCTTTGGAAATTTTTTGAGCTGTTATTGATACAAATGATTTTTAGCTGTCAAAATAGTTACTACTACTAAAATTTCTGTTTGTATCCTTGTCTATTAGGACCTTGTTTATTAATAGGACTTATTACAAGAGATCTTTGACTAAGATCTCCTGTATTTGCTAATCAGAAACTACACCAGTGCAATAAGTCCTATTAATAAACAAGGTCCAAATAGACAAAGATACAAACAGAAATTGATAAAAGTAAGGACATAGAGGAAAAAGAATGAGTTACTATTTCTATTCATCTTCTTTGTGTGAATCGTTAGTTATAATGTCATAATTTATTGATAACTAATAAACTCATATGAACACACATTTTAGTGAAAATCAAACATTTGTAATTTGTAAACATTTTCAGAAGCTATTAATTCTATTTTCAAAATAAAAAAGTAAATTACAGTTATAATAAAAATAAACTAAACAGTTTTAATGATTGAGGAAATTATAAATTTAAAGTAATAATAAACATAACATTCAAAATCTTAAATAATTGTGAGATTATTTTTCCATAAAAATTTTTGATTAATCTGAACATAATCATACTTTTACTATTATCCAGCAAATATAACATTATTGGCTTTTTAGTAACTTTCCTCGTACTATATAACTTCTGTAGAACATCAAAGCAGTGGCACATTATCCTAACGGCAAAAAGGACAATTGCCTAGGGACCTCAAACCAATCTTTTATAAGAAAATATTTCCCCAAAAATTCTCCTGAAGAAAAATGTCTGCAGTCAACACTGTTTGGGGCTCCCTAATTCAAATTTTTCTGGCCACCCATGAAGCTATAACGTGCCACTACATCAAAGAAAATTATTAAATCTTTAAATATTTTTTAAAATTATATTTTGATAGGCTTGAAAATAAATAAAATGCCTGAAAATGCTTTGGAAATTTTTTGAGCTGTTATTGATACAAATGATTTTTAGCTGTCAAAATAGTTACTACTACTAAAATTTCTGTTTGTATCCTTGTCTATTAGGACCTTGTTTATTAATAGGACTTATTACAAGAGATCTTTGACTAAGATCTCCTGTATTTGCTAATCAGAAACTACACCAGTGCAATAAGTCCTATTAATAAACAAGGTCCAAATAGACAAAGATACAAACAGAAATTGATAAAAGTAAGGACATAGAGGAAAAAGAATGAGTTACTATTTCTATTCATCTTCTTTGTGTGAATCGTTAGTTATAATGTCATAATTTATTGATAACTAATAAACTCATATGAACACACATTTTAGTGAAAATCAAACATTTGTAATTTGTAAACATTTTCAGAAGCTATTAATTCTATTTTCAAAATAAAAAAGTAAATTACAGTTATAATAAAAATAAACTAAACAGTTTTAATGATTGAGGAAATTATAAATTTAAAGTAATAATAAACATAACATTCAAAATCTTAAATAATTGTGAGATTATTTTTCCATAAAAATTTTTGATTAATCTGAACATAATCATACTTTTACTATTATCCAGCAAATATAACATTATTGGCTTTTTAGTAACTTTCCTCGTACTATATAACTTCTGTAGAACATCAAAGCAGTGGCACATTATCCTAACGGCAAAAAGGACAATTGCCTAGGGACCTCAAACCAATCTTTTATAAGAAAATATTTCCCCAAAAATTCTCCTGAAGAAAAATGTCTGCAGTCAACACTGTTTGGGGCTCCCTAATTCAAATTTTTCTGGCCACCCATGAAGCTATAACGTGCCACTACATCAAAGAAAATTATTAAATCTTTAAATTTAAGAAAATTCTATAAAAATAAAACAGAACAATAGAAAATTTTTTTTATTTTAATAATTTCACAACATAAATAAAAAATACAAATAAAATTAATGAATTAATGAAAATATTTCTAAAATCTATTGTGTCAAAAGAAGTTTCTATACTTGGGAAAATGTCTTAAGATCTCTTGCATTGATTTACAATTATTAGTCACAGGGTCTTTATTATTATTTAATAGATTGTAGATATGAAGGAAGTTACATCTATACACTATGTTCAGATTCTTCTTTTTTAGCTATGGAGAAAGAAGATTCTTCTCAAAGCTTTGGGTAGGTGCTTGGGGATACTGTCTTTCTTGACTTTTTTTTATTGTGTAGCTCTGAGGTCCCCAAACTTTTTAAGAGGAAGGCCACTACTAATTCTGACAACAGCAGCAAGCTAAAGCAATTTAATATCATACACACACACATATATATGTAAATTTAAAATAATAATAATAATAATAATAATAATAGAACTTTATAAAAAAATCAAGAAAATACATCTAACAAAATTAAAATACATTACAAATATTGTTTATTTTGGGAAGTGCAGATAAGAAAGCTTTTCTTCTTTAATAGATAATAAATTTGACAAAAACAAAGTAGAATAATAAAAAATGCTTTTAACACCAACAATTGTAAACTGAAATTACAAAATGAAAACTTGTTAGCTAAAAGCTATGAGAACTAAGACTATAAAAAGAGATAATACAAAATGAATAACTGTCCTTCAGACTGTACAGAGCCATATGGTCACATAAAGGTCAAATTTATCAAACGATCCAGCAAATAATCTCAAGAGGAGCTATGAAAACTATTGTCTGGATAACAGCTAGGAGACTGTAAACCCTCCAAACTACTGCATATTTGAGTGTCAGATGGCAAATTTCCAAATTCCAAATCCAGTTATGCTTGAACTATTCACACACCTTCAAACTTCCATCCCTCTGTCCTAGCCACCATTACTCCAATTGATATGGACAAAGTAGCCAAAGTTGCATGGTAGAAGTAACTCCAGCAACAATAGCTTCAGTGTCACAACCTGAGAAATTCAATACCATAACCAGCAAAACACTAGTTAGATAAACTCAACAAGCAAATTGATAGTGCAGGCACATCAGGATCACAGTGACCGTTTCTCTTGACATTCCTATAGCAGTTCAACCTGCCACAGTACCAACATTTGTCACATAAACATGAAAATGCAGGTCTCTCTTTGTCCAGTATTTTGACAAAATTTTTAATAAGGTTCAATTTAATATTTAGCAGTGAAAGCACTGTACATTACTTGGATCCATGAGTGGCTGGGAGGCATGGGCATAGCCAGGAAGGGGCATGGGTGGGCACGCCCCTCCCCAGAAAATTACAGCCAAAAAGTGTTGAGCCAATTTGCAAAAAGAAATAAAAAGCTGAAGCTAATTTAATTGGGTGTAGTGTACTCGCTGAAAGTTTAGATCAGGCATAGCCAACATACAGCCCGCTTAATGAATTTATGCAGCCCCAACTAATCTTTGAATATTGGACTTAACTTCAAATAATTGCTTGAATGGATCCGCAATAATTCCTTATATCCTCACAATGTGAAGTGGGTAGAAAGTTGAAAAATTCTGAACAAAAAAAAAAAAAAAGTCAACAGCTTTCTGTGCCCAATGTGAAAGGTGTATCTGTAATCTCTATGTACAGTTTAGTCTCTACGGGGTGACACCACAATAAGATATCGCATCACCTGAAAATCTTGCTAAGGCCGCCTTTGGTTCTGCCAGTGAAAAAAGTTTTCTTTCCAATTCAGTCCAGGGAAAAAACTGTTGGCCACCCCTGATCTAGATTAAAGATGGTGAACTATATTAAAGAATGGTAAAAAAATAATTGATTGGTTAATTTTTGTAAGGCATTGCTAGAGTTTGATATTAATGTTACGAGAACGTATGATTAAAGGAAGTTTCATATTATATGTGTGTTAAGTTATTGTCAATTCCTATGGAAATTTCATTTTAATGAACAATAATTTGAAATAATTCAATTTTGTGTCAGGCTGGCATCTATTAGTCCCCCCATAACAAAACTCTGGCTATGCCAATGCTGGGAGGTGACATTTTTTTGCATCAAGTATGTATGATGCATTCTTCCTCTTTGTAATGAGAGATCTCTGACATGACTATCCCATTCATATAGGAAGCAATAGAACTTTGTATAGTCTTGCTGCAGTTCTAGTAAAATGGCCAAGGATGACTTGATATATTACAATGTGATATTGCCAGATTCTCACCAATGTTGCAATATATACTCAAGCAGTTGATCACTCAAATATGTTCTCATGTTATGTCGAAATGAGAGCCAGTCACATTTATTGTAATGTCATTTTCATGTTAAGTAGCAAAATTAGTAAGGATTTAGGAAAAACAGTGTTATTAATAGATTTTAAACAAATATCATTTATCTGTTACAGTCTAATGTAAATAATTATAGGAAAAATTGTAAAAATTTAGAATGTTTTCAGTTATTTTAATAAGGTTAGATTTTAATTATATTATTAAAAAACGCAGTATTAATCTTAAGTGGAACAAGATTTTCAGCCCAAATTACGGAATGTTTTTTACTCTTGACAACAAAAATAAATNACAACTTGAATTTTATAAGTATTGGGTTTTGAATTATATTTATAGATTTTGAGAATGAAGATAACTTTTTTCAAGTTATAAGAAATATTTTAAAATTTTTTATATTGTTATTATTTCTTTCATTATTAGTATAATAAAAGATATTTGTGAAAAATAATTAAATACTATATTAAAATACATAGACTACTGTTATTATTTATTTCATATTATTATTTTGAAGATCTAATATCAAATGATTATAAATTCCAAACAAATTTATGAAATTCTAGCATATATCTATAAGATAGTGAATTTAAAAATGTATCATTTGTATGAACAAATTATTTACTTCTTTCTATAATACAAGTTCTATTGCATGTTAAGACTACAGTATTATAGTTTTCTAATTTTTATTTTCACTAATAAACTAAATTTTAATTTTAGATACAGTGGAAATTAATAAAGAATTACCAAAACAAGATGAAAAGAAAGATCATATTCTTAATATTATAGCTTCAGTACATCAAACTTCTCATTTACAACAAAAATCTAAACAAACTTCGGCTACTTTACCATTAGATACCAAATCTGTTGATGGAAGTCAGCTAATGAGAAGTAGATCTGCAGCTGCTGATCTCAAATCATATCAGGAAAATAGATCAAGAACTTATCTGTCAATGGAAAAAATGGAAAATATAAAAGATCAAAAGGAGATTAGTTATAAATCAAGCCAAAACAAAGGTATTGTTATTACAGTAAATAAAATGGAAACCACATTCAGTGTTGATGGCGATGTAAACACTTGTCAGGAACAGCGAATAGAAACAATTATTAGTGATACAGAAATGGAGGATTTTGCACAAATTGATAATAAACAATATAGTGAAAATAGGAAAATCACGACTGATGTCTCTAACTGTGATATTCATAATTTTGAAAGAAAAACATGTGAAAAAGATGTATCTTCATCTAAAGATGAAAAACTTACTGCTTATGATGTTAAAAATTTAAATAAAGAAACTGAATCACATAAAATATCAATGGATATGACAAATTATAATTTGCATAAAATAAAATGTGAAAATGAAGAAAGTACTACTACCATTATAAAAACTGGTTCATCTAATATTGAAAATTTATCTTCTGATAGTTCACAGCAATTATCTGGTTCCCACTCAGTTGCTGTTGTTACTGTCACCCAATCTGAATCTTCTCATTTAATTAATGAAACAATTAAACTACCTGTTCTAGGTGCTTATGGTAAAACAGTTATTCACACTGGAGGAGATGTTTGGAGTGTTAATAATGTACAAAATGAACCTGAAGTCAACCAAAAGAATATTGGTGTTCAAAATCAGGATTCTCGAGCAAGTAATCGAGAAAATTTATTTGAAATGGTAACAACCAGTAATGAAAAAGAAATAAATGAAAAGTTTGAAACTTCAAAACATTTTACTGAAAAAATTGCTTTAAGCAAAGAAAAAAATCCTGTTACACAGAAACGTTTTTCTGTTGAAATTGTTCCCTTCAGTCAACGCATTAAAGATCCAAATTATGCATTTTCATCACCCAACAAAATAGAAAACAGATTTAGAAATGTTGATAAAGTTACAAGTAAGGAATCTTCTATAGATTTATCAACAAAAAAAGAAAACTTAACTGAAAGTATTGTTTATAATGAAAAATTAGAATCCAAACATCAAGAAATGTCATTAGATAGTGGAAAATTAAATTGTCCTGTTCATATACGAATTCATCGTGGAAGTAATGTAGAAAGTTCTGATAAGATTGGAAATATCTTGAATCAAGTGGAACTTACAAGTACTTCTCTCTTTAAACAAAATTCACAAAAAGAAACACTAAAAGAAAATTCTAGTGAATTGAAAAAGTTAAATTCATTTATTTCCTCAGATGAAAAGAAGACATTATCTGAGAATACAAATGACAAAGGATTAAATAAAAGTAGGAAAACTGATATGAAACTTGACAATTCAGAACAAAATAAAACTGGAGAATTACTTATTAGAGCACAAGATGATAATACAGCAATTAATTCAAGTTTTACAACTGATAGTTTATCAAAACAAAGTTTAATGGAAACAAATTGTGAAACAACAATAATGGAAGTGAATGTAAGAGAAACAACTCAAATTTGGGAAAAAATGGTAGCTGCAGAAAGTAGTTCCATAGAATCAAAGAATAAACAGTTGTCAAGAAGTTCTTCAACAACTTCTGAAGAAGAACCAGAGCTTTTAAGAGTATTTGCCAGAAGATCAATCAAACAAAAATCAGATGAAAAGGATATAATAGATAATAAAACTAATATTGAAGATACAGTTACTGTTATAAATTCTAAAATTTTAGATCAGAAAGAATCAAATATAATTAGTACATCTAATCACAGCACTATTATTAAGATATCAGAAACAGCCACACCTAAATCATCTGATAAATTACAATCTATTAACATTCAAAAATCAGGAATAGAAAGAGTTTCTCCTATATTTCAAAAAGTTCAAAAATTAGATACAGAAATCAAAAATCCAAAATCTTTAAAATCAGAAAAAATATATTCAAGTGATTTGAAATATTCAGTTGAAACAAAATCTGCTGGAAATCAAAATATCGAAAATGATTCTCCAGTCATCAAAGATAAAATGATTTCAATAAAAAGAGCTCCATCTGTTGAATCATGTCCAAAATCTTCAATTAGTGATGTTAAGACATCGTGTCAACAAATGCCATCCGAATCTTTATCTGAAAAAAGCACAACTACAGAGATCATCAATAAATCAGATGACACAAAACTAAAAGGTACTGTACTTCAAAGGACTCCAAGTGATGGCAGAACAAAACCACCAATTGATACTAAGCCTGTACTTCATAAAATTATAAATGATGCCAAATTAAAAAATGATACAGATGATGCCAAAATAAAAAGGGTGCCATCCATAAACTCAGAATCAGAATCACAAGAAACTGAAACATTGTTAAAAACCACTATACAAAACACTCAAACCTTATGTAGTGGAAATAAAGTAGTTGTGACTGAAAAATTAAAGAATAATGAAAAAGAGAATTCAGTTGCTTTTGCTACCAACAGACAAACTGAGCCACCAATCATATCAACTCCCCAGAGGTGGCGTAATAACAAAGTTCGTTCTCACACGACTTCTGAAGTCTCTCCATCTGATGTACACAAAGCTCAGTTGAGACAAAGGAAAGCTAGTGCTCCAGACCTACCATCTACAATTAAACAAATAGATGTATGTGCAAAGGAGAATTTATACAGCACACCATTACATGGACATAAACCGGAACCGCCTCCAAAATCACCTTCTGTTACAGCACTAGTTGCATCTAAAAGTCCTTCTCTTGGTAATACAACTACAGAAAATTCAAAATTAAAAGATATTTCTATTGCTTCAGTTAAAAATAACAAAGAAGCAAATCTTCCATCTTGGCTCCAATTAGCACAACAACGAAGAGAGCAAAGGGAACAACGTGAACGACTACTAATGGGTCCCACAACCACTACTTTCGTTTTAGAGGTATTTACAAATTCTCTTAATAAACTAGATAAATATTTCCTTTCAAAATATTAAAAAATGTTTAACTTTCAATTCTTATTGATTTCTGCTTTATTATTCTTTAATTGTATTAGAAAGGAACAATTTATTAGTTATATCAAACTGAAATTAATTATTTTTACTTTTCAGAGTTCTGGAAAGCCTACAAGAAATTCTAAAGTATGGGATATGGTCCATAATTTTCAAAAATTACAAATGACCTAGCAAATTCATCTGTGAATTTTGCAAATAATGTTATTGTTATTAATATTCGAACTATATTATTGAACAAAAGAAAGAAAACTATTTGAATCAGATTATCTTATAACATAGAATTGTATTCTTTGATATAAGATAACAACAATTATCACATTTTATAGTTTTTTATCTTATAAATATAAAAAGTAGAAATTAAGTGTTTCACTTAATAAATAACAAATAACTCTTTTATCTAGCCTTTAAAAAGTTTCTGTTTTATGAAATGCAGTACATTTAAGGCAATTTATAAAGGTTATTAAAATTTGATTTTAAGAAATTTATTGACAATTAAGATAAATTAAAATTTCAACACAAAATTTCTATTTTTCTGCCAAGAATAAGTAATACAGTTAACACAAAAAATTCCATCTGTTAGAACTTTCTTATAATTTATCATTTAAAAAATTTTATTTTTATAATAAAGTTTTAAAAAATATCTCCTAAAAAATAATTTATATTTCAATTGTATAAAATAATTGTTTTAAATTTAATTGTGAATTTGAAATTTTAATATTACATTGTAATGTTTTACAATATTTTTCATTTTTTCTTTTTTTTTTTTTTTTGTCACTTCTTGCAAATAAATATCAGTGTATTGATTAAAAATTTTAATGCACTTCTGAAGCATCAAAATTATTTTTATATTGAGTATATTTAATCTGCAAAAACAACTAGCTCTAATTAAATGAGCAAAATTGTATCTGGAAAAACTGATCATTCATTTGCAGATTTTTAAATATTTTATTAGGAAAAAGTATTTTCCCAAAAACAAATTTGTGCACTATCAAACTTTCTTTTATAACATTTCTCCTACATAAAACAAAAAGTTTTAATAGTTGATATTATACACTGAAGACTAAGTAAAGAGTAGTAATATTAATAATTTTGCAATTTACATAATCTTACTTAAAAATATCAAATATTTTTATCATACTTTATATTTTTCTAAATAATAAAGTTTTTATATATAAAATATATATTGATTTATTAATTATTCCAAAATTTCTTTCATACATTATTTTATAGCTCTGCTGTATTTTCTGGCTGTTGATTTTCCTGAATTTTTGATTCTTTTAAATATTAATTTATTAAAATTATTATTTATATAAACTTTTGAAAATAGCCATATGCTTCATGAAAATTTATGGCAAATTTGTTGAATCTCTCTTTAAATGACTTGATATATAAATATATAAGTTTAAAGATTTGAAGATACCTCAAACGATTTTTAAATGAAAAGATACGTAAACATACACAAAATATTTTTTCAATTAAAAATTTATTTACTGAAATGTCATCTAATTATATCAAGTCATTTAATTTCTATAAATGAAAAATATTGTAATATTTGTAGTTATGATATATATAATATATATATATATAAAATGTTTATTAAAATATTAATGGATTTATATGAATAAATATATATATGTGTGTGTATATTACTAATTCCTGGTAGAAAAGATTAAACCTTTTGTCTAAATGTAAATTTCAATTGAAATAATGCGCAACAGAATGTGTCTTCCTATAATTAATATTTCCTTTTATAAATACCTGTAAGTATTGATTTGTTGTTTCTTAATTTAAAATGTTAAGATGTGGCAAACAGGTCATGAATATTAGTTTGTCTCCAGAGTAGAAAAGTGCCTTCATTTATGCAAATTCAATATATTGAACTATTGTGAACAGAACAAAATTAACAGAAAGTTGATGGCACAAATGCATATGTTATGGATATCACTTGTCATATATAAATCTATTTTAATTTTGCCTATAGATTAGAAACTACCTAACTGATTTTCTGTTTCACACTTGACAATCTTTATTATTTTTTTATTGGCCCGAATGTAATATAGTGCTAAATAGGAAAAATTGTTTGTGGAGCCTTAATTTAAAATAAAAATAAAATAAAATAAATGATGTATTTTTGCATATTTAAGGATAGCTATGAAAAATTTAATATGAAAAAATGCATTGTAAAAATATTGTATAGCACTTTGAACCTATAAATTTTATTTTAAAGTGAATATTGTATTTAAAAATTGGGTTCAATGTAATGATGTTTTTTTAAAGATATATCTTAATATTTACTTTGAATATCTTGGCATCCAAATAATTATAAACACCATATAACCTGCTTAGTTGATTAAAATGACTAGTTCAAATGTAAGTTAACAAAATAACAAAATTATTAGACAATCTATGTTTTGATTATTCACAATATTTGGCTATTAAGTATTAATAATTGAATAAATTTGATGTTATAGATACTATTGATAACTTTATTGTTAAATAATTATAAATTTAGTTTAATAAATTTATAAACATTTAGAAAAAATAAATAATTTGAGGTTTATACTTGCAACTTCCACAAAAAGTAATTTGTGAAAGTTAAGACTTTGAGTCTTCTTCTAAAGTTTTCTTTTCCCATTATTTCTAAATTTATTACATCTTCAGCTAAATATAAATTGTTATTAAATGTTAAAATTCGTTTTTAAAACTGATAATTATTTTCTTTCATCAAATTCATTTTTTTTTAAATTATTATGTAAGGAATATACTGTACGATTTAGTTTAAAAATGATGATGATTTTCATAATAAACCAAAAATATTTTTGGAATAGATTTGAACTTTGACATTTTAACCAAGCAGTTATTTGATATTCATGATATCTCAGTGTATTCCGGATACAAAAGAAATAATAAAGAGTTCAAATGGGTATATAAAAATTGGAATATAAATACATTATTAATGTAAATTAATGTTAATACAATGTTTTTACTCAATTTGGTATGTATTTCATGTATATTTAGTATATTAAGTAATCAAGGTTAATCTCCTAAATACAAAAGGGAAATCTTAGTTATCTTTTTCTTTCATGATAATTTATTAAAAACAAAAACCTAAAATGTGCTTATTGCTTCAAAANATATATATATTTTTTTTTTTCCTCTTATTCATGTTGATAAAAACTGATAATCAACTTTTCAATATTTAATGAAAAAGTATGACTGATTATATTTTCTGAACTAAGAAAAATAAATGTTTTATATAGGTTATCAACACTGTAATTATGATAATTATGATCAGACTACATTTCTCAAGATAAATTAAGCCACTGTAGTTAATCTGCTGAATTAATTAATGCACCTTTAGCAATGGATAAAGTTGGAAGAATGCTAATGTTTTAGATTTAGTTAATAGGCCACCTTCAGTTATGGACAGATGAAAGTGGAATGCCAGGGTCAGTTCAGAAGGAAGCAAGAGGAAATAGATTATTGATGTAAAAGAGTAAGGATATATTGCCAAACAGGAGAGAGAGTCCTTGTTTCTAATGACAAGGACTCTCTCCCCATGCCAAAAGAACCATCATGTTTGTCATCAATATGAAAATGCCCAAGACAGAAACAATAAACAAATTTATGCAGATAAATAAGAACCATAATTCTGGTTTAAATCAAAACTATAACAACACTGCCAATTTTATTAGCAAAATATTTTTCATTCAACTTTGATATCATCATCAGTGGCTTAAGTTTAGACCGCTAGCATCTTTTGTTGCCAAGGCAATCTTCTTCCAAGCATTTCTGTCTTGTGCTATATCCTTCCAATTGCCATCTTCTATAGCTGCTGAACATCTTATTTATATTTTAATAAATTTTAATATATAAATACAGTAGACTCCTGCCAACTTGGACAAATTTTTTCAAAAAAATGTAACTTAAAATTTGACAACAAAAAATTATAATTAACAGGTAATTATAATTTATTTAAATAATTGTTTTTGATATCCACAAGTTTTTGCAATACCATGCATTATATTATTGCATGACCATACCAAACAGTTTTGGTACCCAAGGCAAACCTCATACCTGGTGCCCCAGATTCAACATTAATTACAAAAAAATTATACAGCCTTTTAATTCTACAAACTCATTTTGGAACCCCAAGAACCTGAGAAATATACACCTGTCCTCTTAGTTATGCCTCTGTATACCGTATCGCTATAAAATTTTTTGAGTAGGATTTCCTGTAATTTATTATTAAATGAAACAATCCTGTAATGATAAATTCATCAGTATAACTTACTGAAGCTCAGTGAAACTTCTGTATAGAACTGATTATAATAAATTACCATACTGTATATCCACTTTCTCATTTTCCATATCATAACTAACACTCTGCTAACTTGGACAATCTTCCTATTAGTCCAAGTCAGCAGGGGTTTACTGTACATTAAATTAGATGTAAGAAATATTATATACATATAGCATATATAATATTTCTTACATCTAATTTAATTATGGTAATTTAATTTAATATGGCAATTAAATTTTCATAATTATTTTAATTTAAAATTTATAAATTATTGGAATTTCATTTTCATTTGAAAATCCATATAAATTTTGGAAAGGTTTTAATTAATTCCTTCTTAAACAAAATAAATAAAATTAATCTGTTATTTTAAAAATAAATTTTTCTCATTTCTACTGAACTAATCCATTTTGAAACAATAAGCACATTTGTAAATCTAATTTTTTTTATATGAAATTTTGTTTTGTTTTTGATATTAAACTTTCAATATATTCATATTTATATATTCATAATTTCATATTCAATATGAAATAAATCCATATTTATTTCATATTGAATATGAAATATATATATATTTATTTAAAAGATTTTTTAATTTTTAAATATATATTTGGGAGGTTTCCTTGTGAGAAGTTTACCACAAATGAATCTCAATTTCATTCATGTTAAAAACAATTGTATTGTCTGAAGTTAATTGGATACCTCATTATTTATCATTAGAAATAATCATTTGCATATTTTCATTTAATAAATTGCAAAGAGCATTGATATTTTAAGTATGATATACAACCAAGTATATCTTACAAAATATTTTTATAACTCTTATTTTTCTGATAGCCTGTGATAGAAAGTTGGTGACTTAAGGTGTGCTCATTGTATATAAAGGTATTATAACAGTTACTTATGTTCAATCTAGCATTTACTCATTATTCAACATTTATGGGACTATACTTTGTTATAATATTAATATTAAAGAATGCATATGTTTAAAACAATGTAAATTGAGATTATTGTGCATTTAAAAGTTTCTTTTACTTTTTTTGTATATTGTTCATTGATGCTGAATTTAAAATTTCTTTATAGATGTTCCTGTTTTATAATTATTTTTGTGTCTTCATTATTATTATCAATAGAAATTATTGTATTAAAATGGTATGTACAGTATGTATGTGTATGTGTGCATATGCAGAATATAGATTAAAACTTTTTTTTATATTTTGTTATATTGTGTGATATGCATGTCACAAACAGGTCATTAAAAACTTAAAATAATTCAAATTTTATCATATAACTTTGATTATAAGTTTATAAAATACTGAATTAAAGTTTTATTTTTAAAA